ATAGCCCGTGAATAATTTTAACAAACGCCGACTTTTCGTAACAGCGAAACGTGCCTATCGGAGCATTACCGACAGTATGAAACTCGCGAGCAATCAAGAGCGGTTTTATAGGGCCGCGAGAGTGCGAAAAATGCATAGAGGGAGGTAGTATACGCATACCAAAAATGTTTATTTAATAACATTTTTCAGTTATGCTTCTCTGGCGCGCTTTTCTAGGGAGTGTTTTTCTGGAATTTTCTAACGTAGAGGGCGAATGCAAGGGGAGGCTTTAAGCGCACAAGTTTATGACGAACAACGATAATATTTTATACCTGATATTCTGCCTACTCTGAATGTTAGTTATCACGACGTCGCTTCTCTCAGGCTTATTTTCATCTTACCGCATTTTCTTTTTTCTTAAACGCAATGGTTGTCGTAACCGGCGGCAATATTCTAACGCTTCTAAACTCTCCTTTTTTTTGTATGTTTAGGCGCTCGCATTTTTGTCTCAGGTTTTCGCACGTAGCTGATTGTTTTGTCATGTTTTCCGGGTTCCGGTTTGAAAAAAAAAGCGAACCTGGCAGGTGCGCGTGCAGACACCGTGCAATCCCCCGGACTCGTGTCGTCTGAGGCGAAAGACACGCGCCAAAAAAAACAAGTATTCACACGTTCTAATGAACCGGCGTGTATAAAAAAGGTGCGAGATATAAACAGGCGTATTTGGAATATGCCGCGAATTAGCAGGCTATTGTAATAGCCGGCATAAGCGAAAAAATAGCGGTATTTCAGCTGGTGTCTTCTGAGTCAGCGCGAGGATTGCCGCCAAAGATACGATCGGAATTCCCTTTTTAACAAAAAGAGCGATTTTCCTAGAGGAAGCGCACTGTTATATAGCCGTATCATTCTTTTGTCGGCGAATGGTCGCGCATTCTCACACATCCGGTAGAAAAAACAACTTTGAAAACACTTAATCCGTCAGGTCTTACTATTTACCTCAATATTTACCGAGTGTGTTTTTCGACGATAAACCCTAATAATTTAAAAAATTCTTCTTTCCTGGGAGAAGCGTTTTGTCCTAGGAGAGAGAGAGGAGTAAGATTTTGAGGGTATATATGCGAGGAAAAAACTCCGGTTTCGCATTTTCCGTCAGTTTTCTGCCGAGACCCCGATACAATGTCGCGAGTGGGTACGTTAGTGCGCGAGTAAATTGTTACGGCTTCAAACGCCGCGAGTATCGATAGCGTTCGATATTTGACGCGTATTTCCGGCGATGACGCGGAAAATGGTAACATATTTTATTCTTTTGCATGCGCTTGTAGCAGTATGCTGCTAGCGCTTTTGTGTAAGTGTGAAAAATTTCGGGGTGATCCGAAATTAGCGGAAATAATCCGTGAAATTCTAATATTTCGACGGGATTTTGAAGAGAACGTCGAGGACGTGTGGAGTATTATCGCCGACGTGATATCCTACAACGGGTAAGTTAAAACATATCAATTTTATAATGAAAACTAAAACTAAGTAATTTACGCGAATTTTTAGAATAATTATTGTTTTTATCGTTTTATAAGAGCGAATCTTGTAGCCGTCGGTAGCGAGGAGGCGCTTGAGCTTCTTCCACGGGGTCGTAAACGCCTCGCGGAGGAACCAGCTTACCCGAGTTAGGCGACTTCACGTAAGTACAAATCGGGGGAGAGAGGATTTAAGGCAGTTTATCGGGTAAATTATTTAACACCAAAATAATTTTTAGGTCGTAATAATGCTCAGTCATTGGAAGCCGACTTATGGGATTCCGATAGCATCTGCAGCGTGGAAACGCTTGTGAACGAACCCGTCGTCGTCGCTGCTGAACACATAGGTAAGACGGTATAAATATTTATAAAATAACAAAAGTTGCCATGTTAAAATCGATTCATGCGATATAAGTATAATTTTATTTTCAGAAAACATCGAAAATGATGCCGGCGCTAGCGAAACGCTAGGCGCCGCCGCTACCGGTGCGGACGACGCCGACGGCGACGACGGTGACGGCGACGACGAGGACGACGACGACGA